AGCTCTTCTCACCATTTTCCTGTTGGACCTAGAGTTATGATAGTTTACAAGTGTTTCCAAAGGAGAGAAAACTTTGCTGTGCATGTGTCAATGTATTGAGAGCCCGGACTCTCACAACGTATGTGTTTGTCCATTTACTGGACTACATGCCTCTCTTTCTGTAGCTCAAAGTAAAGTACCTGAAAGTCCTGAGCGTGAGCCTCAAGAGTCAGTGTCCAAAACCCAACTGCAAGGAAAGAGACCAAAAAGTACTAAAGAGGAAAGACTCACCCGTAAGTATAATAATCACCCGTCATGATATGTGTTCAATGAATCCTATCAGAGGATTGTTTCACTTTGTTACGCTCAGCACCAAAGCAAGGGGGCCTTATCTCTTTTCCCCTCATTCTAGTGTCATTCGTCCAAGGAATCACAGTCAGATAAATGCAGCAGCGCCCACGAGGCCTGGAAGTGCCATTCTCACCCGTCTTCCCATTGAACCGTGACCTTGGCATACACCTTCCCCCCGCCCCTAGAAGCAGGAGTATAGGGACCTTGAGCCTACTCTGATTATTGTCTAGACTGAAAGCTCAAATATTGGGTATAAGAGGGAGGGGGTTTGGGCACGAAGAAGCTATTCCAAAAAACAGAAATCGAAAGAAACTCCCGGACTCATTATATGAAGCCAGTCTCACTGTGATTCCCATGCCAGACAGAGATCTAAAAAAAAAGCGAACTTCTGGCCAATATCCTTTATGAATACGGATGCAAAAATCCTCAGCAAGATAGTTGCAAATTGAATCCATCAGCACATAGGGAGAATCATCCACTAAGATCAAGTTGGTATTCATTCCTGGGTTTCAGGGCTGGTTCAACTTTCGCAAATCAATCAATGTGATACATCACTTCAATAAAATGAAAGCTAAAAACATATCATCCTGTCATAAAATGTAGAAAATGCATTTGACTAAGTACATTCAAATGCAAATCTTATTCATTCACTGTTAGGTAGGCTGTTTCAGGAGTATACTTAGAGCTAATACTAATTATTGGGTGAAACTTAGCATGGAGAGTCTCCAGTGACTTTTCATCCCAACATTGTTGGATCACAAGGAGTAGCCACAAGTTACTTCCATAGTTCTATAAAATCCCCTGATGAATATCTAATTTTATCTAGCAGGTGTTTAGGCCAATTAATCAAGGTCTAAAGACAAGAAACTTTGTTCTCCCTCAGAACTGCAAAGCTTATGCAAAAAATCCTAGAACACCCCATATAGTTTGCTAGGACAGTCCATAACATACTGACCTGACTGCCGAAGTGCCCCAGGCAACTCTCGGACTCTTCTAATACCACATAGTACCCCCCACTACCCCACCTCAGAATGCCCCATAGATTCACTTGTATCTTCTAAAGTGTGCCTTCCATAAAGGCATTGGACTTCATTGGCCTTTCTTGCGCTATGGTTTGTCTGAGAGATATGCCAGTGTTTGAGTTGGCCAGTTAAAATAAAAAGCAGAAATGAAAGTAACAAGGGTTTATTCATTTAATGCAATAGGATCAACAAAAGTCTAAACAGAAAAGGGCCCCAGATACACCAGTGTTCCATTTCTCCTCTTGGAACAGTGGGTGAAGATTATATGCATCAGTCTAAATTGGTATGAGATATAGGGGAGGATTGTCTCACAGCTGACAGATCCCCAAAGTGTCTCTTGCTGTTTTATGGACCCTGTGTTCTTGGGAGGTAGTGGTGGCAGGGGTAGAAGTGTAAAAAGTCCTGAATACTGAAGTGGAACTGAGAAAAATTTCTTCAAATGCCTGCCAGTGAGGTGGTGTAGGCTGTGGCAGTGCCTAAACAATACTTCAATCAAACCCATCCTCCCCACCACCATAAGAAAGCCTCCAATTGAAAGAAACTAGGGTAAGAATGCACTATGTTTTGGCAAGAGCATGGGAGAAGAGGGAGTTGAGACCATGACTAGTTGTGTATCAAGTCTTTTATGGAATAAGAAGCTTCTTTTCCCCATGCCTTTATAACTATTTATGTTTGTGTCTGAAACGTCACACATAAGTTGTGTCCTAGAGTTATATTCCTTGGGTATATGTACATATACTTATGCGTACATGTATATATTCATATTCACATACATGTACATGTAAACATGCATAAACATATTTAGAATTCATGATAAATCTTGGAAACCTTCAATTGTAGTCTATCCTCTCAGGACTTTGTCTTGTCTTCCTCTATTTCATGTGTATGTCCTTTCTTCCACTGTGTAAATCTTGACTCTGAATAACATAGCACATTTACTCATTTGTTCCTTATTATGCTCCTAATATTGTTTTTGGAATTGCTTAGCACAAGATCCAGAAAATTAAGCCTACTAAAAATATTTTATCATGTATTTATAGTCTCTCCTCCATGCTCTTTTTTATGAGTGAGGGTCCGTGTCAAATACTGTATCAATGAGTTTTTTACATTAATGCTTTTAAAATTATTAATAGGTTCATTTATTTAAGCTTTCTTTCAGTTGTAGTGCCTGTTTTGTGATTTAATTTTATTTTTGAAGTAAATGAAACCCAAATCTGTTTCCAAAAATAAAGAAATATGTAAAGAAATTAGAGAACAACTATTTCATCCCAGTTTTTTCCTTTATTTTCTTTTTCTTTCCAATGTATTTATTTATTTATTTTTTTTTTTACAAATAGTTTATTGTCAAATTAGTTTCTACATAACACTCAGTGCTCATCCCCAAAGTGCCCTCCTTCATGCCCATCCCCCCCTCCCCCCCACATCCATCAGTCCTCAGTTTTTGTCAGCATTCAAGAGTCTCTCATGGTTTGCCTCTCTCCCTTTCCCCCACCATTTCCGCCCTTCTTCTCCCCCTTGGTCCTCCGTCAAGTTCCTCCTAATCCTCCTATACGTGCAAACATATGG